CTAGCTTCCCATTCAGGTCTCGAATTGAACCCACACCTGTGGTTTCCAGCCAAACAAAATACAGGCATATGAGTTATACGTTTACCTCAAGTAGATACACTCCTTGGAGAGAACAGTCATGGGAGAAAGAAGGGGTGCTTATGCACAGGGAGATAGCTCAGGGGGCAGGAGTGTATGGAGGGATGGACACTGGGAAGAGGTAAATATGGGGAGGAAGTGGGAGGGGAGCTGTTACATTGTGGTAACTGGTCAATGACATGAGAGGAAGTATATGTCAACGGCTGTATGGGAAGTGAATTTGCCGTGTAAATCTTCACCCAAATCACAATTTAAAAAAAAAAAAAAAAAGATGTCATGTAGCTTTTGTGACAGTGATATCAATAATTTCCTCTTCTGGTTAGAAAATAGTCCTTGTTCCAGGAAATCTGTAACAAAGTTAATGACATTATTCTAAAAGGGGTCACCATGAGTCAAAATTTACTTGCAGGCAACTCACAGCAACATATTGAGAGGTGGAAAAACATACCTAACTCTCACCAGAATACTAACTAAAATTATACCTAAGTTTTTGAATTCCATTTTACTCTGAGCCTTAACTTTATCATCTTTAAAATAGGACTACTAATACTTACTTTACAAAATTACTGTGAGGTTGAGGTTTAAAGATCATGTATGTAAGTACTCGGCACTTTGTACTGTCAGTAACTAGAAACTGTAATTACTTCTAATCTGATTAAGTAGTCATTGATTTCACTGTTGACCTAAGGAACAAAACTAGGGTGAGGGAACATTAGAATGTAATGATAGAAAAGGCTAGTGCAGAGTTTATAAGATTTTGACCAGTAAAGCTTTGCTCTTAATTTACTTGCCAGTTATTTCTGCTCAGAGTATTACAACTGAAGTGAAAAAATGTACTATAAATTATAATGCCTTATATTTGGAAGACCCCTTGAAAGTTATCTAGTCTAAATTTCTATTTAAAAAAAAAAACCAAATCCACTGCCATCGAGTCAATTCTGACTCATAGCAACCCCCTTTGGGTTTCTGAGGTAGTAAATCTTTATGGAAATAGATTGCCCAGTCTTCCTTCTGCAGAGTGACTGATGGGTTTGAACCACCAACCTTCTGGTTAGCAGTCATATGCCTTAGACAGTACACCACCAGAGCTGCTTAAATTCCTATCCAGTACCAAAAAAAGTCCGTTTTACAATTATCCCAATAAAAGTCATCATCTTAGAAGTATAAGAAGTGATAGTGTGTTCACAGCTATTCAAAAAATAGAGAAGAGTGTTTTTAAAGTCCTGTTTGATAGAAGTCTTCCTCTAAATTTGCTGCTTTGATATGTCCACCTGTTAATGGTAAATATTTTCTTTAAGGTGAAACGATAACTAATAAATCTTACATATGAGAGCCTTTCAGATATTTCTCTCCTTCCAGTCCTGTTCCCTGTCTTAGTTATCTAGTGTTGTGATAACAGAAATACCACAAGTGGGGTGGCATTAACAAACAGAAATTTATTCTCTCGTAGTTTGTTGTTGTTGTTGTTGTTATGTGCCGTCGAGTTAGACCCGACTCATAGCCACCCCTTTTGGGTTTCTGAGGCAGTATCACTGTGGAAGTAGATTGTCCAACCTTCCTTCCGAGGAGTGGCTGGTGGGTTTGAACTGCCAGCCTCCTGGTTAGCAGTCAAGCAACTTAGGCACTGTGCTACCAGAGCTCCCCTCTCACAGTTTAGGAAGCTAGAAGTCTGAACTTCAACCTACCTATAGGGAAGGGCTTTCTTTCTCTCTTTGTTGTCTCACAGTTTAGAAGGCCTTGTCTCCTTTCAGCATCTGTGGGCCTAGCATTCCTTGGAGATTTCCATGTGTCTTGTCATCAGTCTTTTTCTTGGTCTAGGAAGTTCTCAGTGCAGGAACCCTGGGTTTGAAGGAAATGTCCTGCTTCTGGCTCTTCTTTTATGGTGGAGTAGGTCTTTCTCTAGCTCTGGTAGCATAATGCCTAAGGCACTTGACTGCTAACCAGAAGGCTGGAGGTTCAAACCCACCAGCCACTCCTCGGAAGGAAGATGGGGCAATCTACTTCCATAGTGATACTGCCTTGGAAACCCAAGGAGGGGTTGCTATGAGTCAGGTCCCACTCGATGGCACATAACAACAACAGCAGGTCCTTCTCACCTCTGGTCACTTGTTTAATCTCTTTTGTATCTCACTATCTCACGAGAGACTGACTCAAGATACAACCTAATCCTGTGGATTGCACCCTGCCACTAATCCTGCCTCATTAACATCATAGAGGTTAGGATTTGCAATATATAGGATAATTACTTCAGATCACAAAATGGAGGATAATTACATAATATCGAGAATCCTGGCCTAACCAAGTTGACACATATTTTTGGGAGACACATTTCAATCCATAACAGTCTCTTAGAGTCTGTTCTCTACAGCAGAGCCAGAGTGGTCTTTACAAAGCACAGCTCTGATCATGCCTCTTCCCTTGCCATCTGTGACCATTCATCCACTTGAGTATTTCCTGTTTTTCTGTACCTTCTATTAGTCATTAAACAAAAATCCTGATCTGCTCCAGTTCCACACAGACCGATAACTTGTTAGGGAAAGTGGATAATTACTTAATTCAGGTGTACTCTATGTAGCCAGTTTTTAGAATTTTTTTCTCTAAATAAATAATTTCCAATGTTTGTTTTTATTTTCAGTTCTGGATATTTAAAGGCCAAACAGTACATGGAAGAAGAAAACTATGATAAAATCATAAGTGAATGCTCAAAAGAAATAGATGCTCAAGGCAAATACATGGCAGAAGCATTATTACTACGAGCCACCTTCTACCTGCTTATTGGCAATGCCAATGCAGCCAAACCAGATTTAGATAAGGTCATCAGTTTAAAGGAAGCTAATGTAAAGGTACATTTAAAAATGTGTATGAATATATACAAATGAGTGTGTGTGTGTGTGTGTGTGTGTGTGTGTGTGTGAGGGAGAGAGAGAGAGAGAATTAGTAAATAAAAATGTTTGTTATGTACAAAATTTGTCAGCATTTCAGTTGTCATTCTCCAAAAGACTATATATCCTATGAAACTGAAACATAAATATCAGTGATATTCATCTTTAGCTAGCAGAGATATTTTTGTTTTATTTTTTCTTAAAGCACCTGATAACATCAGCCTCCCTTCCTAACCACTACCTGCTGTATTTGGTATTGGACTATATTTGGGTAGTGGTAATGGTGATACAGCAGTGCTATAGATAATGTTGTAAGTAGGCTATAATATGTAGTATCAGCTTATAAAATGTATTTAATAAGAATAAAATCTATTCTAATATATTCTGAAATAAAAAGCCAAGTTCTAAAAATATAATATAGAAATACACTGATACATATGTATACCAAAAGGTTTTGCACTTGTGGTGGCTTTCCATTTTCCAAGTCTTACTAATATATACATAATTATTATTGTAATGAAGATGTAGGGGTCTGTTGTATTACGTGACCTTAAACACCAATTATATTCCTTACTAGTTTGTTAGCATTTCTGTGGTCTGTTTCCTCATTGAATGAAGTGAACTCTGTGAACTCTTTCATCTCCGTATGACTCACACATATTTTGGTGAATACAAAGCTTGTTCAAGGCCTAAATATTTGTTAGCAAATTATCTTAGCATTGTGTAAACAAAAATAGTTTCAACTAGTTGTTTATTTAAAGTACCTTTCAAAATAAGATTGTCAGATTGAAGATACTCTAGTAATACTATCTTTAATTTTTTTATACTGATTTTCCTGATGATTACAAATATTATACTCTGTTGTTACATGTTTTTCTTGGGATTGTGTGTGGCATCTTTTTTGTTTTATTAAGGAGGACATTTTTATGTAGTATTGCTTTGAACAAAATTTTGAAGATGAAAGATATTTCTTCTTGCATGATCATGAGTTTTATTTTACTTTTTTCATATTTCAACAAACATTCTTTATTGTACTGTATGATTTAAGGTATCATTTTTCTCAAGTGACATTCAGACATATGAAAAATAGTTGCATGTGCCTGTAGCCATTAATGAAATTATTCTGTACAAATGGTTACACTTTACCAAGTCATTCATTAAATTAATGAGGGAGACACATTAAAATATTTCACAATCATTATCACGTCCAGCCATATATATGTATATGTATATATGTTCATCAACAGAAAATGTGCCTCAAGAATGAGTTTTAGTTTTAAAAGCAAGTAGAATGCGCCTTACACCATGTACAAAAATTAACTAAAAATGTATCAGAGACCTTAAGTAAGAGCTAAAAGTATAAAACTCTGAGAAGAAAACACAGGAGGACATCATTATGGCTTTGGATTGATTAGTCAGTAGTCCCTTAGGTATGACACCAAAAGCATAAATAACAAATAAAAAAAATAAATTGAATGGCACAATTGAAAGTGTTTGTGCTTCAAAGGACATCAGAAAGAAAGTGAAAAAACAAAACACAGAAGTGGAGAGACTATTTATGTGCAAACGATAAATCAGCCAGAATATATAAAGAGCTCTTAAAACTCAACAATAAAAGGTAAATAACTCAATTGAAAAATGAGCAAAGGATCTGAATAGACATTTTTCCAAAGAAGATATATAAACAGCCCATATGAACATGAGAAGATGTTTAACTTCAAGTGTTGTTGAGGATGTAGAGAAATTGGAATCCTCATACATTGTTGGTGAGAATGTGAAATGGTATAAAAAAAACTCTCACGCAATTAGATCCAACTCATAGTGACCCCTCCTTGGGTTTTTGAGGTAGTATCACTACAGAAGTAGATTGCCCGACCTTCCTTCTGAGGAGTGGCTGGTGGGTTTGAACCGTCAGCCTTCTGGTTAGCAATGACATGCCTGAGCCACTATACCACCAGACCTCCCATGAAGTGGTAAAGCCCTTTTCAGAAACAATTTGGCAGTTCCTCCAAAAGTTATAGAGTTAACAATGACCCAAGAATTCCACCTAGGTATATACCCAAGAGATTCAAAACACACACACACACACACATATATGCATATGGGACCTCTGGTAGCATAGTACCTAAGCCATTTAATGCTAACCAGAAGGCTGGTGGTTCAGACCCACCAGCCACTCCTCAGAAGGAAGATTGGGCAATCTACTTTTGTGGAGATACTGCCTTGGAAAACCCAAGAAGGAGTCGCTATGAGTCAGGATGACTCAGCAGCAGTGAGTTTGGTTTTTGGTTTTTTATACACACACACACACACACACATATATTGCAACACAAAAATGTACGCATGAATGTTGATAGCAGCATTACTCATAATTGCCAAAAAGCAGAAGCAATCCAAATTTTGGCATCAATTGATGAATGGATAAGTGTGATATCAATACAGTGGAGTATTACATGACTAGAAAAGAAATGATTTTTTTTTTTGGCCCCGGTATAGATAAGGTTGCAGTGAATTATTATTTTTTTTTAAATTGTGATTTAGGTGCAAATTTACAGAGCAGAGTTTGTTTTACATTCAACATTTCATGTACGTTTGGTTTCACTTCCCAATTACCATCCACAACCCTAACCCACTCTCCTCCTGTCCCTTCCCAGTATCCAACACCCCCCTTACCCCATCCCGTGCCCCTCATAGTTATGCATTCCTTTGTGTCCTGCATTTGCTCCATGTGAATGTTGCCCCTCTTGTGCCCTGTGGTCAATTGTTCCAAGGGATGCATCTCCATAGAGTGTATGGGTGCATCACCCTGGGTTGAGTGGTCTGCATGTATGTCTTATTTACTGTTGGCCTAAGAGCCAGCCCTTGGGAGTGAGTTTTATTCCAGGCCTGAAGTATATCTGAGGACCATAGTATTGGGGGGTCCCACCAGACTCCATCCGACCAGAAATTGCAGTCATTATTGAAGGAATGAAGTCATGGATGGACATAGAAATTATTATGCTGAATTAAAGAAGCCAGACACAAAAGGCCCTGTAATTTATAATTCTGCTTATATGAAAAGTCCAAAATAGACAAATTGATAGAGACAGAAAGAATTATGGTTTGGCCTGGGGTGGAGTGGTGATGCATGCAAAGTAACTGCTGATGTCTATGAGGTTTCTTTCTGGAGTCATGAAAATGTTCTGAAATTAGGTTCTGGTGATAAATTCACAGTTTTATAAATATACTAAAAACCATTTAATTGTTTGCTTTATAAGATTGAGCTTTATGATACATGAATTATATCTCAGTAAACTTGTTATTTAACAAAAGAGGTAACGATAGATCTTTTCTTATTCTGGGTATGTAGCTTCGAGCAAATGCTCTCATCAAGAGAGGCAGTATGTACATGCAACAGCAGGAGCCTTTGCTGTCTACTCAGGATTTCAACATGGCTGCTGACATTGATCCTCAGAATGCAGATGTTTATCACCACCGAGGACAGGTAAATGAGAATTTCTTAAAGTTTTCTTGTATCACTTCTCCTGTCTGTACACAGAGTGTCACAGTGGTTTACAATTTGGGTTGGCTTTTATTTCATCCCATCTTAAACATTTTATCTTATGATTTTGTATTTGCTTATGAAAAAGAAAAAAAGAAGGCTAAAAATTTTGGCTTGTCATTCAAGTTTCTTTTTCAGGTGTTTCTGCTCTATAGGACTTTCAATTAATACAATATTAATAACCTCTGTTGAGTATTTTACAGTAATGCTAGAATCAGTGGAATAATTTATATGGGCCTCTTGCTAAAGAAGTATACCCTGTATTGTTGTGGTGGTTAAGTTTGTGTGTCAATTTGGCTAGGCCTGGTTGAGTGGCTGGACAGCTGGATTGTTATTCCCCATGGTGAGATTGGTAATTAACTCCATGGTGGAATCTATTGGAGCAGCTGAGTAGCTGCTTTAGGTATGTGGTCTGCTTCTCGTATATAAGCAGCAGCTTTGGGAATGGTCTCTAGGTTATGGCACGCTTGAACCCTGCATGTTGCCGTGTTGTTGTTCAGCAGCCTGCCATGCTCTGCCGATCTTGGGACTTTCAGTGGACTTGAATGGTCTGCCGTGTGGTTTGGTAATAATCGGGACTGTGCCTTTTTACTTGTCAGTCTTGGGCTTGTCAACCTGAGCAGCCAGCAGCTGTCTGAGTGAAGAAAAGCTTCTAGTTCCAGTGGACCAGGAGCAGGAGGCAGAGCTGAAGCCTAAGGCTGAGGGGCTTTCACCCAGCCCATAGAGCCTGGCACTTTTTTTCTTCTTCTTCTTTTTCTTTTAATGCATTTTATTGAAATATAATTTATGTACAGTGAAATACACAAAACTAAAGTGACATGGGTCAGTGCTTTGTTTTGTTTTGTTTTAGTGTTCCCTCCCTTCCCCTCCCACCCCTGGCAACCAACAAAGAAAGTTTCCCTCCATATATAAACCTTAATACTGTATTTGTCTTTCTATCATTGACTTAAGTTCACTCAGCATAATGTTCTCCAAGTTCATCCATATTATGCAGTATTTTGCAGACTCTACATTATTCTTTAGTACTGCATAGCATTCCATTATGTGTATGTACCATAGTTTGGTCATCCACTATTCCACTATAAATCTTAGAGATAAGTCCCTTGCTAGATACTAGAGCCTGGCACTTTGAACTCAGACTTAAAGCCTCCAAACTGGAAGAAAATAAATTCCTGTTTGTTAAAGTCATCCCATTTGTGGTATTTTCTGTTAGAGCAGCACAGAGGTAACCAGAACAATTGTGCAAACAGTAATGCCCCCCCCCCAACAACAACAACAAAATATCCTAGGAATGGAGTTTTATAACAAACATAAGTAGTTTAGTAAAAATATATAATGAAGAAAACATTTTTCAATTACAGCTTTATCTACAGAAAGCATGACTTTATAATCTGCTTGATAATTAAGGCTTTTTGTAATCCAATAAGAAACTCTAGTGGCAAGGTAAAGCATTTGCCTGCTGGCTAAACGGTCAGCATTTTGAATCTTCTGGCTGCTTGACAAGAGAAAAATGTGGCATTCTCATTCTGTAACAATTTACAGCCTTAGAAACCCTATGGAGCAGTTCTTCCCTGTCCTGTAGGGATTTGTGAGTCAGAATTGACTCGATGACAGTAGGTTTGGTTTTCGGGTATTTGTGATTCATTATGGTGGAAAGTGTAGGCTGTATATACACTAACAGAAAAGCTTAAGTTCTTTCTAATGGAAATAGAAGTTTCTTGTTTGGTAGTGATCAAAACTGTAGTGCAGCAAAGATGGTGGGTTTATAATGCTTTTTTAAAAATTGAGACACCAGTTTTAAGTTTTAGGAGCTTTCTTTTAAAATTACAGGATATTCCATAAAAAAGACCAGTAAGCCTGGTGGAATCCCTGAGACTTTGGCCCTTAGTCACCCTTCAAGCCTGGAACTGAGCTCAACTCCATGGTTCAAACTATACACAGCCAAATAGTAGGCAGGCATAGAGGCTGAACAATAGCACAAGGGAGGAATGCGCTCCTGTAATACTTGCCCAAGCAGGGCAGAGGCCAGGCCAAGAGCAAGAAAGGCATGCCTGAAGTCATAGCAGACCTGATTGTCCTGATCAAAGAACTATATCCTGAGCTCCTGAGTATGTTCCTGAACCCAAATTGTAGCCTGTTACTTCCCCAATAAACCACATAATCGTGAGTATAGTCTTGAGTTCTGTGTGGCCATTGTAACCAATTACTGAACCCAGCAGAGTAGTGCTGGGTGCCAGAATTGGTAAAAATGTTTGGAAGGTGGCAGCAATACACCTTGGGCTGTTGATGGTGATTCTGTTTCCCCCTCTTAAGGTTGGAGGAGGTCACAAGATGCCCCCTCCATATCCTTTTTGCAGTTGGGCAAAGTGTTACAAGGTCAGTAGGGCAATACTTGCCCAGAGATGAAGCTCAGAAGCCAGGAATATCCATAGGAAAGGACATGTAATGGTAACCACAAGAAGTGGAAAGAATGTTGTTATATTTAGGGGACTGCATTCAATGTCAAGAAACAAAATATTAATGAACAGTTGAATAGAAAACCAATTTGCTCTATAAACTGACTCAAATCCCAACAGAAAGTTAAAAAAAAAAAAATCCAAGATATGCTAGTCAGTTTCTAGAAAGTAATTCTGTATTGAATAATTGCTATATGCTTATTTGTTGTTGTTATTGTTGTTATGTGCCGTCGAGTCGGCCCCGACTCATAGCGACCCCTCCTTGGGTTTCCGAGGCAGTATCACTACAGAAGTAGGATTGCCCAACCTTCTTATTAGCATTACTAAGTTATGGTAGTAGACAAGAGCACAGTGAGTATTTACCTGGCGTACCTATTTTGAATTACATTCCTCCATGGTTTTTGTTTTTTCATAGCTGAAGATACTTCTTGATCAAGTTGAAGAAGCAGTGGCAGATTTTGATGAATGTATTAGATTAAGACCTGAGTCTGCTCTGGCACAAGCTCAGAAATGTTTTGCATTGGTAAGTACCATTTTCCCTGTAATTTGTAAATACCATTTTTATTTCTCCATGTTAACAAAAATGAGTATCTCATTGTCTACAAAATTTTTCCCTTCCCTATAGGATGGAAAGCATGTTAGCTTAAGGAAAAAGTAAGTGTTATATGTGGATTGGAATATAGCTCCTTTATTTCTCTGGATGTGTTTTGAGTTCATCTGATTTTATGTTCCTCTACCAGCACAATTCCCTGCTTCTCTGCCATAAATCAGTACAAAGAACAAAAACTTTCCGAGGAAATGCTCTTCAGTTACGACACTACATACCTGTTCTTTCATCTTTCCTTTATAATGCCACTTCTTAACACTATACAGAAACACAAAGCTGAAAAGGAAAAATAAGTCCATTTCTAATGAAATGAGGTACTGCCAGTTGGCTCCATAGCCTTGAGTCCTAAAGGAGTTTTCCTTTTAAGAAAAAAAATTGAGTTACAAAGAGTTAAGAATTATGTTATAAATGAAAAAAAAAAGTTATTAGATGAACATGGTTTGTAGCACTTTTAGTAAAGTATATCATGTAAAAATTCCCATTTGCTGTTTTCACTCTAGCTTAAGAGTTTTAACTTCTAAGTTAATGTGCCCTCCTCTAGGTTATTAAGCATCTTGAATCGGTATAGTGCAATAACCTTTGGATTCCCTCTATTGAGATTTTTCTTTTCTTTTTTAAATGCATTTTATTGAAATATAATTTATGTACAATGAAATACACAAAAACTAAAGTGACCTGGATCAATGCTTTTTTTTTTTTTTTTGCATCATTCCCTTCCCTCCCTCCCACCCCTAGCAACCAACAAAGAAAGTTTCCCTCCATATATAAACCTCTTTCCTTGACCCTCCACAACAACGAACTAATACAATATTTGTCCTTCTGTGATGACTTACATCACTAAGCATAATGTCCTCCAAGTTCATCCATATTATGTGGTGTTTTGCAGACTCTACATTATTCTTTTAGTACTGTATAGCATTCCATTATGTGTACGTACCATAGTTTGGTCATCCACTCTTCCGCTATAAATCTTAGAGATAAGTCCCTTGCCAGATAAGTAATTATTAGCAAATATGAATTTGTTGTTGTCATTTTTGTTTTGTGTTTTTTTGTGGTATCGATTTCTTTGTTCCATATAATTTTCTATGCTGAGATCATTTTGTTTATGAATCGTGTTATGACTTCTTTCATTGCTATTGTTTTAGTATTTGCTGAATATTTATGCTGGTCCTCGTTTCTGATGTGAAGGTTTATCATTTTTCTTTGAGGTTACCCTGTGATTTATAGTTTTCTTTCCAAGTTTAGAACAGTCCATTCTATCTTATAATTGTCTTGACTTCCCTACCATCTAGAAGTTCTGTAATGACAGTTTTTCCCCTCTTTTTGGTTTATAGTTGTCCTCATTTGTTGATTGATGTCTCTGGTTCCCTGTTTACAATCTTGTAGGCTTATTTACTTTGGATACTTCCATAGCTGGGTTATATCATCATGTGTGTTAATGGTCAGTTGTTGTTGGCTGTTGTTGCTTCTCTGTCCAAAGGACTCCCTTTAGCATCTCTTGTAAGGTCAGTCTGGTTTTAACAAATTCCCTTAATTTCTACTTAACTGGAAATGTCCTAATTTCACCATCATACTTGAGGGACAGTTTTGCTGGGTATGTAATTCTTGGTTGGAGATTTTTCTCTTTCAGGGTTTTATATATACCATCCCATTGTATTCTAGCCTGCATGGTTTCTGTCGAGAAATCCGAGCTTAATCTTATTGGTTGCCCCTTGTAGGTAACTTTTTGTTTTTCCCGTGCTGCTCTCATGATTCTTTCTTTGTCTTTGGTTTTGCTAAGTTAGGTGATGATATGTCTTGGTGATTTTCTTTTGGGGCCTATCCTGTTTGGGGTTTGTTGAACGTCCTGAATGAATATATTATCATCTTTCATCATACCAGGAAAATTCTCTTCTAACAAATCTTGGACTATTTTCTCTGTGGTTTTATTTTTCTCTTCCTGTTCTGGAATTCCGATTACACATAGATTATTCCTTTGATGGTATCCCACATGAACCTTAGGCTTTCTTCATTTTGTTTTGATCTTTTTTCTGATTTATCTCTTTCCAAAGAAGTGTTCGGGTATTTGCCTTCAATCTCCCTAATTCTGTCCTCCATTGATTCAGTTCTTCTCCTTTGCCCATTCGATGTCTTATCTATTTCTGAAAATTTAGTATTAATCTTCTGGATTTCTGTTTGTAGATTTTGTATCATTTCTGACTTTTCATTTATTTTGTCATTTAGTTTTGTATTTTTTGAAATTGTTCTAGGGTTTTCTCTGTGTTTTCCTTAATCTGTCTCTCACTTCACTGAAGATACCTAAATACAATTCTTTAGAATTCCTTATCAGGGAGTTCCAATGCTGTTTTCCTCAGGAATGTGTTTTGGATCTGTATCCTGGTTCCTTGTTTCTCCTGCTTTATCTTGCTTCTTTGTATAGACTGTGATGCTCTGTTGTCTCCGAGGCATTGTGACATTTTTGTGTTTATATTTAATTGGTGATTGTATGTTGGAGTCCCTTGCCCACGATTTTCATTTTCTTTGTATGTTATCTACACAAGCAGGGTACTGTGCTTCTCTATTCACTAGTTGACAGCACTTACACACTTATAACTGTCTCCTTCCCTGTTGTCAGCCTCTCATATGTCCCTGCCAACCTTGTCAAACAGAGCCTATTCTTAGGTCCCTGGATCTGAATGAGAATGCTATCACTTTAAACTCCAAAATGGTTGCCACTTACAAAGATTCAAAATGGCTGCACCCTCAGTCACTTTAAATATTCAAAATGGCTGCCACTTGTAAACATGCAAAATGGTTGTACCCTCGGTCACTTTAAATATTCAAAATGGCTGTCATGTGTAAACAATCAAAATGGCTGCACCCTCCGGACAGTGGTAAGTCAACAGTTCAGGTTGTCTCCCTCTTTGCTGTTTAGCTTTCTAGTCATAGGCCACGCAGCACAGTCATCTCCTACAGCCCTTGGTGACCAGGGCTGATCTTTAGGTCAATTCTCAGATCCCAACACTACCTGGAAATATTCAGGCTGTTGGTCCCGTCAGAGTAGCTGACAGTCCACAGCTTTGATCATCTCTGTACTCACTGTTTTCGTTCCGGTTTTTCCACTAGTTGGTGCCTAATCCACTTCTGTATGGTTCCTTTCAAAGCTCAGGACTCACTATTGAGATATTTCTTAATAACCCTTTGAGATGCAACATATTATATTAGCAAATCAGGTGATTTTCTGGAAATATTTATGTAATTTTGTATCTTTTGTAATACTATCATTCCATGAATTTTGAGACAGGCCTGTTTTGATCTTTCAAACAGTATCGCCAGGCATATACGGGAAACAATGCTTCACAAATCCAAGGAGCTATGAAAGGTTTTGAAGAAGTCATAAAGAAATTTCCAAGGTGTGCTGAAGGCTACGCGCTATATGCCCAGGTAATTGTGATTTTTCAGTTTTTTTCAGTTGCAGGTCCTTTTTTAAAGAAACACATTTATTTGGCAAATCCTGATGTAGAAATCAGAAGAAGGTGTTTCAGGGTTGCAGCTTCATTGGAAGCAGATAAGCCATGCTTTGTTCCTGCTTTGATTCTCTGGTCTTCCAAGATGGTCCTAAATCATTTCATGAGCAGCTCCTATACACAATTTGGAAACCATGATCTAACGTCATAATTTGGAGAAGCTTAACATTTCCCTCATGACTGCATTTGGATTGGATCTGCAAACAATTCCATAACCTTAGGAAAACTTGCTGTATGTAATTGGTGGGTTAAATATCCATGGAAAGGATATTTTTCTCCCTCTATGTGATGACTGTTCTTTTAAGTGGTTAGAGAGGCTGTAATGGCTTTAGTTTTTCTTTCATCTTTTAAACTAATTAAAAATATTCTGGAAGTATTCCTTAGTTTAGAATTGAAGCTATGGAAAGTAGGATTTAAATTTGAATTATTTTAACTTTTTAATTATATTTTAATTTCTAATTGTAGTCTCATGTCCTAGAAAATTTATTAATTTTAAATCATCCTTTTAAATGTAACTGATTAGCTTTTTACAGCCGCAGTTATATCTTTTCCCTCAAATTATCTTTGAATGATTGTTTTGTCTCTTAGCTTTTAAAGTTGAAAGTTGCTTTTGGTATCTATATAAATAGCCATCTCAATACTATATAGTATCTCTTATATCTCATTTTTTTATTATTATTACAAAGGAAAGGATTTTTCCCTCACAAACCTCACAGAAACAGGAAACGTAAAAATGACCATCCCTGCTAATCTCCTCCCCTTAAACCATTGCTAAGTATGTTTCTTTTGTTTCAAATTTCCTTTATGCCGTCTTTAGACGTAAGAAAAGTTTCTAAAAGATTTGAGCTTTATTTATGAGAAGATTGATTTGTGTTTGATCTATTCTTTTTAGGTCCTACACGTCACTGCATTAGGGATTGAAATTTTGGGGTATGAAACACAACTTAGAAGTTCTTTAACCTCACTTTGAAATCATCTTATCTATTCACTCTGTTCTTAAAATTCCTAGACAAAGTGATAATAAAAAAGGAAACATTAGTTGCTGACTACATGCTCTGTTTAATTATTTACCAAAGCATGTTCTGTGTAATAATTTTATAGAATGTATGAAAGTTAAAATAGGACAACTATAGATTATAATCATGATATGCGTATTAAATGGAGGATACTCTTGGCTTTTGCCTTGCACTAATTAGTAACAAACCAGAAGGTGACGGCATAACCCTCATCGTCGTGGAATTCAGAGGGGCATTTTTGGTGCAGATTTTTATGAGCAGCTAAGAGCAAAGGCCACCAAATAGCTTTTAAAGAAACCAATACTGGGAACAGCTGTTCTGTGGAACTTTCCTAATTGTATATACCCCCATCACTGTGCGTCATTAAACATGGTTTTAACTTGCTTGAACTGTCTGTTCTTCTCATTAGCACTAGCATTAATATAGTCTGTTTACACTAAAATTTCTGTCCTTTGGTCCCTCTTCTAATTTTTTGTTCATTGTGTGTGTGTACACAAACACATATATGTGTGTGTATGTGTGTGTATATATTTTTATATATATATAAAATAGAGAATGTTTATTTATAACAGTGCTACCTTAAAACCCCAATAATTAAGATGTAGCATTTTAAATAAATTTGTATCCCCAAAACACAGTAATTTGGTAATGAATGGATACATAAAGTAAATTTTTAATAAGTATACTTTTAACTGCTTAGGTTGACAGTTATCTTAATATAACTGAAGTATCTCCTCACATAGGCATTAACAGATCAACAACAATTTGGTAAAGCTGATGAAATGTATGATAAATGTATTGATTTGGAACCAGATAATGCCACAACATATGTTCATAAAGGGTATGTATTTTTATGGTTCTGTTTCAGTAAGAAACTGTATTTCTTGTGTGGTAATAAAATGAATTTCCTTTGGTCATTTAAGAAGAGGACTGTGGTAGAGAAGGTATCACTGAGTTATGATATGTGGAGGTTATGCTTAATGCTTGTGGAGGTTTCACTGTTCATTTTACTTATGTTTCATTCTTTTATATATATATATATATATGGGAGCTCTGGTAGCATAGTGGCTGAGGCACTTGACTGCTAACCAGAAGGCTGGCGGTTCAAACCCCCAGCCACTCCTCGGAAGGAAGATGGGGCAATCTACTTCTGTAGTGATACTGCCTCGGAAACCCAAGGAGGGGTTGCTATGAGTTGGGTCCGACTCGACGGCACATAACAACAACAACAACATATATATGTATATATATTGGTAAATGTACTTTAAGTTAAGGTTTTTAATTCCGAATATCCTGTCAAATGTAACTTGTATCGAAAATAAAAAACAGGTAATTTTTCCTATCCTGTGATGATTGCTAGGTGAGTTAGTAATAACATCTAGACTGCTGGACAGTTTGTTTTTGGTTTTTTTTTTTTTAATAAGGAACTTAATACTACACAGCCAGTATAAATTGGGAAGAAAAAACAATTTGATGCTAATTATATATGCTACTTTAATTTTTTGTTTTCCTTGTAAGTTAGATTGTAAATTCATGGAGGATAGGAATTAAATTCCAACTGCTACTGGGCCATGGTCACATCTCACTGCCTTTTTTCACTTACAGTTTACTTCAACTTCAGTGGAAGCAAGATCTGGATAAAGGTTTGGAGCTTATCAGCAAGGCTATTGAAATTGACAACAAATGTGATTTTGCATATGAAACCATGGGAACTATTGAAGTTCAAAGGTACTTCTAGAGAATCTTTGGAAATTTTTGCAGCACCATAGACTTTTATCTTTTCTTTTTTCTCATTACAGTCAATAGCCATTAAAGTTTTAAAGTCTTAATAGAATGTGCCTTTTGAGGCAAGCTTCCAAAACTGGTATTAGTCTTTGTTTCATTTTTCAAATTTAAAAGTCATGCACATAAAAGTTGTTTCAGTCAAGCAAATGAGTTACATTGGGGTAGAAAACTAGCCAAGTTGACAGAAGATCTGGATCCTGCTACAAAGAAGCAAGCAACCAAGTTACTTGGGCAAGATGCTGTATCATAGAGATGATAAAAACCATTATTTCCTTAACGTCCAGGTTGGATAAAATGATTCTTTTTTTTGTAACTCTGACTTCCTGTAACTTCTTGGTTAGTATAAATGTTTTTCAGAGTTGCACTTTAGATCTACCATTAGACAGGTGATAATTATTTATACCATGGAATTTATCGTAGTATACTATCTTTAATATTAGTGCTGTGTTAGAATAGGTACTGAACTTTTGTACTTTGCAGAAACTATTTATTTGACTGTGTAATTGAATAGTGCGGTATACCTGGATTGTTTAAGCTAACAAGGTTACACAGCAGGCCAGTAGTGGAGATAAGGATTTGAGCCCATATCTTACCGAAGCCAAAAGTGCTGTTCTTGCCACTGTCACTGTCTCAGGAACAGGTTCTCTTGATTCCCTATCTTTCAGCCTTTACTGTGCCCTCTCCCTGCTACTGAGTAGGCAGACTGTATATAGATTTATTATGTACTGACAGTTTCTTGTAAATTTTTCTTAACTGCTAATTTGTTAATTTGAAAAAATATATTTTCAGAATAGGATAGGCAGTTCTTATTAATCTTTCTTGAGTAAAGCTGTGGACTTTTCTTAGAATAATGTACGTACAAAAACACTTTACATTTAATTCGAGGTGTTCATAAATATTTGGTTATGGACCCTGATTTAGGGAGTTTGATGGAATTTTGTGTATTGATTGTACTTTAAGAAAATCATTCTAAATCCTACCAGGTAGATAGATAAGGAGCCCTGGTGCCACAGTGGTTATGTGCTCAGCTGCTAACTGAACAGTCTGTGGTTTAAACCCACCAGCCGCTCTGTAGGAGAAAGATGTGACAGTCTGCTTCCATAAAGATGACAGTTTTGGAAACCCTATGGAACAGTTCTGCTCTGTCTTATAGGGTTGCTATGAGTTGGAATTGACTCAGCAACAACAGGTTTGATTTGGTTGGATGGGATGTCATTGAGTGTTAATTGTACTTTAAAGACTCCATGCTAAATCCCACCTTGCAAATGGATAGGCAGGTAGGTAAGTTGGTAAAATTGTTGCTTGTCCTAGGATATAGCAGATGCTTCCCGTCTGCATATACACTCTTTGAAGTTACTGCTTTTTTAAATATCCAGCATGTACCCAAGGAGCCCTGGTGGTACAGTGGTTAAGTGCTTGGCTGCTAACTAAAAGATTGGTGGTTCAACCCCATCAGTTAGTAGCTTCAAGAGAGAAAGATGTGGCAGTCTGTTTCAGTAAAGATACAGCCTTAGAAGCTCTATAAGGTAGTTCTATTCTGCCATATAGGGTCACTGTTAGAGTTGACTTGATGGCAGTAGGTTTTGGGGCATAAGGCCATACATTATAGTAGGAGGTTAAATACTGTCATACCAGAGGTACCTCTTAGGTCTTTGAGTCTAACTGGAATAATTAAAAAAAAAAAAAATTATCATCGACTCAGTCATAGCTACTACCCCTATTGGGTATCCAAGGTGGTAAATCCTTATGGAAGTAGTTGGCCCATCTTCCTTCTGTGGAGCAGCTGGTAGGTTTGAACTGCCAACCTCCTGGTTAGCAGTCAAATGCCTTAGGCACTGTACCACCAGAGCTCCTTAACTAGAATGGAGTAAACATTTAATAAATATTTGTTGTATGGTTACATAAATGCATGTGTATATACATAGCTAATACTAGTTACTTTTAAAGGCTCTTGGTTTTTGGCGGATATATAAAGCTATAGACTGACAGATAAATTAAATCTTACTGGCCAAACATATTCATCTGCTTACTCAATAAATAAATAAAAATAAAACAGATACTAGTTACCAGGCCTTGTCTTTAGTTCTGGGAACTGAAAAATGTCATTAAGGAGCTAATAAGATAGTGCTGTAGGAACTCTGGTGGTGTAGTGCCTAAGGCACTTGACTGCTAACCAGAAGGCTGGCAGTTAAACCCACCAGCCACTCAGAAGGAAGATGGGGCAATATACTTCCACCTAGGAAACCCAAGGAAGGGGGGGTCACTATGAGTCGAAATCAACTTGATGGCAGTGAGTTTGGTTTAGTTTGTTTTGGAAGATAGTGGTATAAACAAATGTATATGGATCTAACTATGCATACAGTAAGAAGCTCTAGTGGCCTAGTGCCTAAGGCATTTGACTGCTAACCAGCAGGCCGGTGATTCAAACCCACCAGCCACTCCTCGGAAGGAAGGTTTGGCAATCTACTTCCATAGTGATATCGCCTGGGGAACCTAATCTGAGGTCGCTGTGAGTCGGAATGGACTCCACAGCAGTGAGTTTGGTGTTCTGGTTTTATACATAGAAAGATAAGTGAACTATAGGGGAATACTGGGAAGGAACACCTAGCTCTGCCTGGTGTAGGGAAAGCAACAATATTTTTCATGAAATTAGATTTAAACAGGGCCTTAGAATGAAGTCTTGACCAGACCATGCAGAGAGCTAATAAATAAACGATATGTGCAGACACAAGTGTATGGTACACTAAGTTACTACAGACAGGTAGGCATGGGGTGAGAATATGGTGGTAAGATAGGAGACTAAGAAGAACGTAGGCTTACACGAAGCTGTGAAGGTAAGGTACTTGAATGTCACTTGGTTCTCTGATATCACATCACTGTTCTCTAAGGAGCCTCTTGATACAGCAAAAAGAAGCAGAACTGTGGAACCAAAAATTGTGATTTTAAATAAGTCATTTAATTTCTTTAGTTCCCACTGTTCTAAATAAAGAATATAAAAAGAGGTTTATAAAGTAGTAATAGTAGCTAACATTCATTGCGTGCTTTGTAAATGCATAGGAACTGTTTTATTGATTATGGAAGAGCCTTTTTATTAGAATTATAGTTGAAACTTAGTGGTTAGACTCCATGTAGCATCAGTTAAAAAACTTCATTGGATATTGTGAAGTGCTTATTGAATCTGAGACTTAAAATTTTCATTCTTTTAGAGGGAACATGGAGAAAGCCATTGACATGTTCAACAAAGCTATCAACCTGGCCAAATCGGAAATGGAGATGGCTCATCTGTATTCACTTTGTGATGCTGCCCATGCCCAGACAGAAGTTGCAAAGAAATACGGATTAAAGCCACCAACATTATAAAGCAGGGAAGGGAGGAAAATGGCCCTCTTTTTAGAAGTTTATCCCCTCTTCAACTGAACCCTACAGACACTGTCATGAACTGTGTTGAATGGTGGAACTTAGTAACTTTGGTGTTGTCATTTGTTACATCTGTTTCATGTTAGGTGTTGTGGGAGTGGCTGTTGAAGGGCGTGTGCAGCGCTGCAGCTTTTATTCCCTGTGCAACAAAAGCTTAAAGCCTGTTAAAGGGTATTACAGTCAAGTTGCAGAGAGTACAAATGATAATTGGCCATGCAAATAAAAACTTTGATTTATTGATGTGGCTTTTTTTTCCCCCCCAAGGGAGGGGGTGGGAGTGATTTTGTTCTGGATGATATTATCTGTCTGTACATGTATGTATGTGTATAATATATGTGAGTGTTTTACAGTACGTTGGTTTTTAAATTAACTTAGTAAGTGCTGTAAAATAGATTTATATTCAATTAATCCCTTTTAATGGATTTTGTGTTTTGAAGAAGACAAAGTTTAAATGGGGATTTTGTTTCAAAGGCAGCAGCATTGAGAGATCCTTTAAAACACTTGTCAGCATGCATACTTCTCTGACTCTGCAGAACTTTAGACTCGCTGGACTCAGTGACAAATGTTAATCCTTTGATCCTCTTCAACTCTAATGCATAATGTACATTGTACTTACAATCCACAATAGCCAGTTTTTATACAGTAAATTACGCAGAAACAAAATATTCTGATTGATACGTGTGCTGGAAAACTGAGTATTTATGAGAGTGGACTGGGCAAGAGGTAGGAGTAAATGGAGGTGTGTTTATAAATGTGGTTATTTCTGTACTAGGTACAGTACTTTTTAGTGTATTTTTAAAGAAAATGCAGGTTTGTTGTGTGTATACCTAACGATGGTAAAAGTGTGACAGGTGGAGATATTTAATGAGCTTAAAATTTCTAATGAAGAAAATGTAGTTCAAATCTTTAAAAGATGTAAATCAGTCTTGGAACCAAAAGCATAGTATTTCCTGAAATGAGAAGTTTAGCGTTTCAGCTATGGCTACATGTGCTTAAGGAATTTTGAGCCAATACTTTCAAAGATATTGAGGACATGTGGAGTCCTTTTTAATTTTGAGGTAACCTTGGTCTCTAAGGCCTAATTTCCCATATCCAGATCTTCACCAGGTATACAGGCAGCAGATATTTTGGGGGGCTTTGTTTTCATTTTATCTTTACCCTATCCCACTTGGAAATCACTTTATGATTTCCAGTTGTCACTTTAATAGACCACCCTCTTGCTTGGATGCTTGATTTTTTGGGGGCAAGGGTATGATTGTGTTCTCAGGATATTCCAGGTTGGGCTGGGGGTATTTAAGTCTGAGTATAATAAGAAAGCAAACCTTCAGTTCTACTTTTCTGGAAATGAAATCTAATTATAGTTTCAGTGTTGGGCATAAAGGAGCATTTTACCCCTCTATAAAAGCGTGCTTTATCCTATTGAAACCAAAAAGATTTTGTCTGCAAATACTATCTTTTTAGAAACTGTTAGACGTGACTCCCTTCCAAAGTCAGTCTGTGGAAAGGGAGCCTCTAACTAACTGGTGGGCTTAATTGGTTAGCATTAAGATAATCTGAGTAATGGAAAGTTAGAAATCTCTGCATTTTAATTCTTAAGTTATGTACCTCCTGTGGTAACCCTTGAATACAGAAATGCTCTGTGTTTCCAAGTGACTTCTGACTTTAAAAAAAAAAAAGTTTTTATTTGCATGGCTCTATTTACATTAATGCTGACTTTTCTTCTACTCTTCTCCCTTATTCCTTGGAGTTGGGTAGAAAAAAAAAAAAAAATACACACACACACAAAGGGAACAGAAGCATGTGCCATTCATTCAATACTATCATTCCAAATCCTCATGGACTATACTGCCTGTTCTGACAATTTTTGAAACTGCACTGAAAGCTGCATCTGTCTGTATCTTTTCCTTTGTAAATGACCTCACATGTAAATTCACCAAATAAATATTCCATTCAAGCTTTTCTATTTATTTTTTTTTCCAATAGAAAGGTGGTTGTTGTTGTCATGTGCCGTCGAGTC